CATTCTATTGTAAATTTCTTCATTTTATTTCATTCTCCAAATACATTGACACTTATCGCAGCTCGCGGTATGATTCGTTCGATTGAGCGTGCACACAATCTCAATCTTTTATCATCGCGAGAATTCGTAGCAGTTAAATCGTCTATACATAGAATCGCTTGTATTCGGAGATTTTAATTGTTCTATTGAATTATAGTGTCGTATTATGTTCAAATATAGACATTATCTCATTATTGACATGATCCGCCCACCGCTTTGTTGTTGTTGCTATTGTTGGCACACAAGAAATTTCGAATGGGCATGCCTTGATGCGAAGCGCGCGAAACGATTTCTCTTCGGTATATGGAGGGGATGAACGAAGTTGTTGTAACAACTAACACGCCCAATTCTCTTGTTTTCGTAGTCGCTGTGCTATGTGTGGAACGCGTTCAAAATGAACACACGAACCAACAATGAACAAAGTCATACGATGCGTCGGTACCGGCGACAGCAGCAGCTGTATTACTATGTATGCGGCCACTGCTACAAAAGCACAAAACGTTCTCCGAATCAAACATGCGCACATCAATACCAACATACATGTCACATATAACCGTCTCTTTTGCGTCCATTTTGTTTTTATATTTTCATCTCGTTTTCGATTCGAACAAAATGCCTATTTTCTATACTGAGCAACAGCAACAGCTCCGAATAATATTTCGAACCAATCTTGGGCTTTCTGTTTTATGTTCACGTATCGCATCAACCGTTCACAGCGAACTGTTGAATAAATACTGTGTAGTATGACGCAGGGTTGGCCAAAGAAAATGGCTGTTTTATATTTCGTAAAACTCTTGAACTGAAAACCAAACGCATATTTCGAACGCTCAACACAATTTCGAAATTTAATATTTTTAAATTTTTTGCGCCAATGTTCGACAATAATAATGATATAAATACTTTTTGTTTGATTTTTTTTAGCATGTTGGCATTTTTAAAAGCATAATTTTACCAAAAATCGAATGAGATTGTTATAGAATTGGAAATTCGTTCAATTTTAACGAATCAACCACGCAAATTCCACTTAATTTAATGGTTGTAATATCCAAATAGGTAGAATATTTTGTAGATTCAGTGGGTTGAATCTCTTTTCCATGGGAATCTCGAGTGAATGGATGATAGGTTGGTTATTAACATCTATATTTAGTGTTTCAATGAAGCATAATAAGAAAATTGGCGGGTGACGCACTTGAACTACGCGCGTACGGCCAGGTTACTGAATATCAATGGCGAATAAAATTCTCTTGTTTTTATCGCTATGGATCAAAAATCACTTGAGACAAGATTATTCGTGGGAAAATGTATAAATACATTATTCTCAGATTCGAAAAGAGAGAAAACCTTATCTACCTAAGAATTGATACCTTTAATCCCGTTTCAACAAAATAACTTGATAAATACATTTTTAATATATATTTATTTTGATTTTCATTCATGAATTTTTCCGTGAAACGTGGTTAATCCAAACATACTTCAGCCCAAACAATTGAAAGCATTAAGAGTCATCAGCTTTCATTATGATGCAATGAACAAGAATCTTTCATATATTACTGTGCGATTTTCTGTTGTTTTCAGAGTAATATATATACAAAATCAGTCGCCACTTGAATCAGCGCGTTACTTATGAAAGAAGTGTATTGAATTCGTGGCGTACGAGAGAAAGAAAACGTTCTATTAATTAAGTTTCATTTCAGAAGTAATTGACACCATTTGGTTTATCGCCACGCGAATACGATTATTATGTGTTGTGTCAGTTTGTGCAACGAAACATGATTACGAACGGAGTGAGTGCGCAAATTTTTTTTAATTAAAGAGGTGAGACGAAATTACCGATAAGAGTGCATAGCGTCCAGTGTCTGTGAAACAAGCAGTTTTCTCGTATACAGTGCAAGAAGAACACAATATGCATTTGGAGCACAAATTGCCTTTATTTGTAAGTGGTTCACGTTTTCTGTCGTAGCATTCGCCGTCGAAGAGTTCATATTTCAGATGTGTTTTTAAACTGGTTTCCATATTCGTATGCATTTCATTTCTGGGAATGCGTTCGCTCGTATGCTTTCGGCCACTCGGCATATTCTATGACTTTGAATATATTAGTGGTCTCTGGAGAGCCGTTTTACATTGTTTTGAAGCATTCTCAAAGCACTTTGGCAGAATTGAAAATTATTGCAGCAGAATTGTAAAGTGTTGCATTGTTACATGGAATGGATGAATGACATTATTTCAGATGAAATTCAATTGCGATTTTCAATGCTATCGTGATTTTATTTATTTTACAAAAAAAAAGTTTTCCATCATTTTTTTTTAATTTACAAAATAAAATGAATATTTGCGATGGAACTGCATATTACACGAGAATATTCGTTTCGATTCCCCTTTTCAACATTTCATTAAAACGAATGTGAAAAATGAACGGCGTTGTTCTTCTTTGGGTCGCGTATTTTTGCATGGGCGTTAAATATTGTTGTGAGTGATTCGTGAGTAGAGTTTGAGGGAAAAGTGATTACACTTTGTAATGGCAATGATTTGGGGTATGGTGCGTTTGACAATCGCAAGAGGATTTATCTGTTTGAATTCAGTTTATAGACTGTTGCATGGAATTCATGGATTGTGCTCGAAGAGGTATGGGTTTGGTTTGGTATAATGCGGAAAATAAGCAAGCTGAACAGATTACCATTTGTTTGTTAAGTATTTTACTTTTACGTTACACTCCCCATCTTGGTTCTTTCGGTCGGGTTTCGTTATGGTAGAGAACTGGGTTCCTTTGGCAAATGTACGGGTTGCATGCTTTGCATTTGTATACACAGCGATTGCGTGTAGGTTATAGAGTGAGGAATAGTACACTTTTACTGTTTGAGTACGTTTATAAGATTTCGTACGTGCTCGTTTCGGTGTGATTTATGAGTCGGTCACCTTTGTACGATTTGACCAGAAGAAAGGTCATGGCATTTGATATTTTTTCGCTTCATTTATAAATATTCGGTGTTAGTTTTCATTCAAATATGATTGTTCATTTGCATGATTTTTTTCAATGGGTTCTTTGATTTGTGCATATTTATTTACAATTATATGCATTCTAATGCAAATTATTTTTAAAATTTATTTTTGTTGTTGTTGTCAATTCAAAGTTTTATCGATGTGAATTTGAAGGTGATCCATTGTTTGTTCAAAATAGTCTGGTATTTCGAGTTTTATGAACTTTTCACTTAGACCGCCTTATCTGTTCGAGTATGCCGAGAATGCCGAGAAGGTTGTGTTGGTATCATAAACAAATTTCGATATTCTATCCGTGGATGTATGATATACACAATATGCACACGGTTGTATGAATAGCAGCAAAGCGATGTCTACAACGTTTACTGCTGATGATGTTCGGGAACAAAGACGACCATGTATAGGTGTATGGGTGTGTGTGTGTGTGCTCGCACATACGACAACCATTTCGCTTGCACAGCATCGTGCCATGCCGTTTGCGCGCATTGCGGGTATTGAAACGGTTGCTTATCGCCTTCGGGTACATACATGTTTCCGTTGATGCGAACAAGAGCGAACAAGATAGGATGATTATCGTACTGGTGCACCACGTATCGTTTGCAAGTATTTATAGAATTTGATTTTTATTTTACGATGAAAAAAGCAACGCGAACGCGCAAGAAACAAACACGATGCGTATGCATATTGCATATATAGCAATAAACGCATCACATTTTCTATATGCTTAGGTGGCAGTGTGGGTTTTTAAAGCGAATAAAATAAAAGCATTGAACAGCAAATAATTCGGATAGAGTGTATTCACTGTTTGTGAAATGCAAAAAAGAATACCAAGTGAGCAGCAATTTTGTGTAATCATCGCATATACTTAAATATGTACGATGAAACAATGGAATTGATGATGCATTCGTTTGCACGATTCGTACGTGCTAGATGAATGTGACGATATTTTTACATGCCGCAAAAGGCACTAATTATTGCAACGGCGAAAAAGTTGCGAGACAAGTTAAAACCGCGACATCCAATTAAGATTCAGATAGCATTCGAAAGTTTTCGAGGTTTTTCTGGTTTTAATTAGCAATGAAGCCAATTTTCTATTATTTGGCGGACTAAGAAAATGAAAAATTGAACAATGCCAGAGATACGTATATTATTTAAATGGTTCTGCAAGTAAATCAATGAAAATGCTCGAAACGTAATTCATAAATCGAAAAAATGTGATGATAAATCCGAATTTTAACAAGGAATTATTGAGTAAGGTCATGAAAAATCAGTACTGAAACTCAATCATACAGTTGGAAGTCTTCAATCGAAAAGAAGTCGAAAAAATTTTCGGTTCCAATTTTTTTTTGTATCCAATTTACTTGTATTGTGCTTTTCATTCAGAATAAAAAAAAGTATTCGTCCGAAAATACTATACGCGAATCATTTTAACATCGTTATATTAAATAGACGGAAAGCAAAGCATCGAAAACGCACACAGTGACACACAGACAAACACACATTTACACATCAGCGTACAAAACATGAGCAACGGTCTGACGTATTTCATTCATATATATATCGCTTCCACAGCGTATGTATGTATAGAGTCAAACACATGCGCTCGGCTCTTCACCGACATGTACATACACACATATATACGCGTATATATGATAAAACGTCAAAATAAATATAAGTCGAAAAGAAGAGTCTCGCCGCCAAGCGATTTTTTGTGTGTTATTTTCCACAATCGAATTGAAAACGTTTTAATCGGTCTTTATCATTTGCAAACAATTTCTTATGGTGCATCATCTTGATTACTGGATTTATAATCATTTTTTAGCTAATTCTGGAAAATTCATTGACTTGAATTATTCAAACGCAAAAGCCCGTCGATTTTAATACAAAGCAATATCATTTGACAGTTGTAATCGTTCGAACCGAGTTCATTAGTAAAACGAAGTCGTGCTCGTATATTCCATTTATTGAGTGTACGGAATTTCATATGAAAGTGAACTAAACATCAAATCGAGTTTTGGCAATTAGTTTGATCTGAATTGCGTGTGCAAATAAAAAGCAAACATTTTGTGTGACCAACAAAGTAAGTGTATTTGTAGATGTGTGTTTGTTCATTGCGCCCAAATATATACGATATATGCTTTGTTTGTCTGCGAATGAGTGTGTTGTACATTCTGCGTGTGTCAGCTGTTTGACTCTGTTTTTTTTTTGTTTTGGTTTCGTTGCCTATTTCTATACTTAGTTGTAGACTTTTTTTAAAGTGGATTTTGTGTCAATGTGCCTGCAAAAATTTCGTGTTAAATTCACACTTTTGTTTGAAAAAAACGTTGCGCTTTTCATTTGTTCGAATTTACGTCGTATCATGTCTTATTCATTAAAAAAATCATTTGAAATAAAATTAATAAAATGCACATATCATAATTGAATAAATCAACCTTTTGTTTCACGTTAACCCTTTCACGTCCGTTCAATATGAAATCGACAAGGAACAATTCATTCAAATAAAGTAATTTAAATTGAAATATTTTAATTGCTAAAAGTGTAAAAAAAAGTATGAAAATTTCTTATCAAAATAAATTCGGAAGCTAAAAGATTCAGTCAACGCGTAATTTGTCCTTATCTATATAGCTAAAGCGCTAGCGGAATAGATAAGTGGAATATTTTTCGTTGTATTTTTAAGAGTAATGTAAAATTTGGATGAAATGTCATCGTATTTAAAATAATTGGTTGACCTATATGCGCCACTGAGATACACATACAATGTATGCGCGCATATGTGTGCAAGCATGAGTACGAAACAAAAGTCAGTTTTGGTTGACAAACTAGTTCCGCATGTTTTTTGTTATCAAGGACTTGAATATATGTACATGCATTTCATGCTGTGATTTTTACATGGAAATTTGCGAAATGCATATGGGCAGACCTTGCCATTTGCCATTTGTTTTACTAGTACATCGAATGGAAGCTAACTGAGAAAAAAATAAAACCAGAACAATGCAGGTTTGTGTATCAGAAGAAAACAAGAGAACACAGTCCAAACACAGAGAAAGTGCTGCTCATAAAAAATGGAAGAAAATTATAATGCACGGCATTGAGGGGATACAAAAAAAACTCTACGTGAAAAAAGGACCAAATTAACTTTTTAAAGTTTAAAAACACGTCCAAAGAATACAAATCGATTATCACAAAAAGAAAAAAACATAAAAAAAACCAACGAAAAAAATGAGAGGTAGAAGAAAAGAAACAAAAAAAAGGCACATATATGACAGAGAAACAAAGAGAGAGGTGAAAGAGCAAAAAAAGCAAGCAAAACATTACAGCAGGTATATGATATAACAATAAAGTGGCTTTATCGAAATATCTCCATAAAAAGTTTTATTGGATTTTTGAGGTGATTCGAGGTAATCAGTTTCGGTGTCAATGCAATGTAAAAGGCGAACATCTCTTGAAACCAGCCCGAAAACTGTTTCTTTTACTTGATTCTATTCGCTCGCCACGATTGGGTAAAAAATAATCAAATTTATATTACGACATTTATTATCGCTTGTTTGTTCATTCATTCATTCGATGTGTGTTTTTTTCTCCCGTCATTCGTTTTGATTTGCGTGTGTGAAGATAGAAAGAAGAGATATTATTTTATCATTATAATCATGAGTGTGTGACACTCATCTTCTTTGAAATGGTTATTCAAAACCATGCATTTGTATGCGCGTCACTTTTGTTCGTTCATGTCGAGTGTGTACGATATTTCTATCTCGGTCTCAACTGGGAAATTTGTGTTATTGGAACTACCGTAAGCACATAGATCAAGAAAGAGAGAAAGAGAAACAGATAGAAATAGGTAGAGAGAGAGAGAGAGAAGAAGAAGTTAGCGATGAAAGGTAATTTGATGTCGATGCACAGTCTGTCGAAAAGTGCATATATATTTAACCGAAATTACTAACCTAACCAATAATTATTGCATGAGTGTCTTGTTGCTCCCATTGTCTGATGATGCTCAGGTTGGTTCGTTCGTATTGGTTTTTTCACGATCAAAATTACGAGCATATGTGTGTTTGTGTGTTCGAGCGCGCGAAAGAGAGTCAAAGTTGAACAAAAGAGATGTATACGTTTGATTGATAGGGAACGTGTGTGTGCTCGCGCGGTATTGATGCCGCTAATCATTTTATTACTATAGTGGTGTGCTAACACGTTGTTATTGTTGAATTGAAAATCCAACACGCAGAGATCATAAACAGAATGAATTGTTCATTATTGGCTGTAGCAACGACACCAATGCGGGAGAGGTTTTTTTTTACATCATTTCGTTATTTACTGTATTTTTTTTTTGTTCGTTTTCCTTTGAAGAATTGTTTAGTTGATAAATTGGCATTTGCTGTGCTGAATACATTGAAATTGTCGCAAAAGGAATCGCTTGTTTGCTTTATATGGTCAAGTTATATGAAAATGGCACTGGCTCTCAATGCCAAATGGCAGCACAATCATAGCTATTGAATTGAAATATTGTGTGTTTGGACGCGTTTGTTACTGTCGTCATCGTTGCCGTCGATGCTGCCACTGAATGAAACATTCTAAGCGCAGAAGCAACAAACAAATTGCCCGAAGTTACTGTACCAGTCAGCCAGTCACAATAAAGTGGGAAAATATGCACATGTTAGTTTTTTTTATAACAATCGTAAAGCACTTGATGCTGACTCTAGGATTAAATCACGTTCATGCTCTGATGTAATTTCACATAATTTCTTGTTCCGTTCACAGTTCTTTTTGAACTATCACGAGAAATGTAACAACATTACCCATGCTTTTTCCAACGAAATAAAATTGAAACGAATTTTTGTTACTCTTGAAACATTTTTGTGTTATGACAAATGTTCGTATTCTCGACATCCAAATTCAATTATGCAAAGGAAAATAAGTGCCTTATGCTTCGTCATTTTATAAGAACATGATTAATTCATGGTTGCTTTTCGCGCTTCAATTCGAAGAAAACGGTCACAGATTTTATGTGATTTTATGACTTTTCTAAAATGAACGTTACACTTGAGTGAACAACAAAAGAAAAACGAAAGAATACTTGGACATTGAAATGCCGTCGGTTTTTTTTAATTATTTTGTTCAGAAATTTTTTTTTAGTTAGACCGAAGAGTGGAATAGAAATCTTTCATTTAAAAAAAAAAATAAAATCGGCTTTTGAATAAAAATCAATCAATTCAATCAGTAAAATATTAAATTCCATTGAGTTAAAATGATATTTGAAATGAATGGCTGTAAACCGTGATGTCTTTATTTATCAGTTTCAATCATTGAAATCGTTAAAACGACACACAACGAACAGGAATGAGAAGAGCGATGGTGAGAGTAAAGAAAGCCAATAAAATGTTGATTGAAGTCTACTAGCCAAAAGTCATAAATTATTTTGGAGTCATGAAGTGAGTCGTGTGTATGTGTGTTGCTTCCAATTAAGACAGTATTGCCTAATAGAGATATTCATGTGTACATGAAAATGCAATCCATCAACACCACAAGAGGTCATTCTCTTGTCCTTTTCGTCGTTCATTCGAAAGAATGAAAAATGAATAAAATATATTCGATGTGAGATAAATAATGAAATCCATTCTCAGTTGGAATGCTTTCGCCTGAAGCTGACGTTCACAGAAAATATTCGATAAAATTCAAGCTTGATCAATAAAAAAGGCTTTAACATGGAGAAACATTTCTGCCGAAATCATCCTTGAAATTGGAAGTTTCATTGGATTTCCCAAAACGTATTTGTTGTGTGATACCGGCAATGATAAGATCGGTTTCGCTCTAAATTGTATTACATATATGACGCTGCATACATACAATAACAGAGGGGAACAAATATCTAAACAAACCTAATTTGATGGCATGTTACGCACATAAACGACAGTAGTCAGGATAATGTTCAATGCTATGGCAACAGTTACTTTATCAAGTGCGATTTTCTTCATTGCGGAGATGCATTTTGGTTGAAGCATTTGTGAGATAAGGAATAAAGTCCCACATAATGTTTAAACGAAAAAAAAACAAGCAAATGTCCCGATGTGGTACGGAGAACGGAAAAGGTGCCATACTTGTCGCTTAATTTAAATTTTAATTACGGTTTTCCGGAAGGGCGGAAAAAACCAAAGAGTTGTTTTTTCTGTCGATCCTTTTTTTTATTAATCAGTGAGTACGGTGTAGGTTGACGCATGTCGACACACCACTTTAACTCGTTAGCACGTTCAAAGTGGCATAAAAGGATTTTGTATCGTTTCGTGTTTTTCGGAAACCTGTCAGTTGAAAAAAGAACATAAGGATCGAACCAATTTTAGCTCGAAACAACGTGTTTTTTTTCTGTTTTCCCAGCAACAAGCGAACATTGAAAATTCTATATGTGAAATGAAATAAATTGTTGTTGTTTTTTTTTTTTCTGTAAGACAGCGATCGCAATTCAAATCGTATGAATGTGAAGCTTGAATAAATAAGACGAGAGAAAAAACGATCCAAATGAATAAATTGTTGGAAAAGTAATGTACGGAAAAAAGCGAAAAAATGCTCAATGTTCAGAAAAACAGCGACTCGAATCGAATGAGAGAAAAAAAAAATCCACGATGAGCTGTGGAAAAACGAAGAGCAGAAAAAAGACCGAATCGAAATATACAGGCAAGAATAAAGGCGACAACAACAACAACAATGTGAGTTGATTCTCTTTTTTCTTTCTCTCGTTTTCTTTTTGTTTAAAAACTCAACCGAGTGTTTCGAGTTGCCTTTTCTCTATGCTATGGTACTATGGTGTGTCGCTTTGTTTCACTCACAGTCAGTTTTTCGTAGATTCTCTCTCTCTTTCTCTCAACACTCTGCTATTCCATCTCTCTCTGTCTCTATGTGTGTGTGTGTGTTTGTTTGTTTGATATGCGGCCGTCGATAATACTGTTTGGAATGCACGAAAGCATTCACACACAGCAAGCGAAGATGGAATGTTATTCACTGCGCACCGGAAAGAGACAGACGATAAACGCTCGAACAATTTATTCTGGGTATGAATTGAAACAAGACAAGAAAGACTGAAGACAGAAACGA